TACGACACCGGGGAAGAACGAGAAGTGTGTAACATCGCAATTAAAAGGGTAGACTCGCCAACAACACATCTGCCACAAATAGAAAGATTTTCAAAATGGATTCGCCTCATAAGGGCGACAGCGAAAGTCCTCATATTCATCGACATGTGCAGACCAAACAAGCACGTGGTGAAGGCTGGGCGTAAACGCAACAGAGCAAGACAAGATAGCGACCCTGGCTGGCGAAGAACAAACAAACGCAACACCCCAGCCAAGGAGAAAAAGGCAACTCCTACTGTCTCATCCCTTGTAGGAATACCGGCCGCTTATCACGTAAGAGCCGAACAACTGTGGGTGTAAGCCAGTCAGCGGGAAAGCTTCACGAAGGAGCTCAAGAGGATCGCCAACGGAAGTGTTCCGGGAGGTGACGACAAATTAGGCCACCTGAGCACATACGTCGATGAAGAGGGGACCCTACGCCTCAGAGGTCGAATAAAAGCAGCATCAGAAGTGGAAGAGGACACGTACGACCCTCCCATACTAGACGGAAAGCACGCATACACTCGTCTGTACATAACACACGTACACGAGAGGTTGCATCACGGAGGCGTGGAAACAGTCGTGAACGAATTAAGACAGACTGTACATAAGAAAAATACGTCCAGTGGTGAAAACTGTCGTCAAAAGCTGCCTACCGTGCCGTCTAAGAAAAGCCAAGCCTGCATCACCATCTACAGGAAACCTGCCGTCCGCACGTCTCGCTCATCACGCACGTCCGTTCACATACACCGGACTGGACTACTTCGGGCCAATAGAGGTCACAGTGGGACGACATCGTGAAAAGCGCTATGGCCCGTTATTCACCTGCATGACATCACGAGCGATACACATAGAGGTAGCCCACTCTTTAAGCGCCGACTCAGCCGTGTCGGCGCTCAGGCGTTTTATGAGCAGAAGAGGATGCCCAAAGGAAATATGGAGTGACAACGCTACGTGCTTCAAAGCAGCAGGCAGTGAGCTGACCGAAGCAGCACTCGCAGCCCTCGAGCACGAAACCACATGTCGACAAATTGTGTGGAAGTACATACCACCATCAGCACCGTTCATGGGCGGCGCATGGGAGCGAATGGTTCGCTCCGTGAAAGAAGCTCTACGCGTCACCCTCAACGAGCGCTATCCCAGTGACGAGACCTTGGTGACCCTGCTCGCCGAGGTCGAAAACACGGTCAACTCAAGACCTCTCACACACGTCTCAGTCGACCCAGGAGACCCAGAAGGACGTAACCACAAGCACGGGGCATGTACTATGAAGACCGACAAAGAAGATCGTCGTGCTACCAGAGGGATCGCAGCGTGGCGACGGCGGGAGAATGTGCACGACGCAAACATAGTAATACGTCGAACGAAATGACTTACGGATTGCTTGTGGTAACCATCGCTAGTTGAACAACCTAGGGGCGGTGGGCGGAGCCATGAGAATGTTATGATCTTCGGGGCGCGCTCACGGTTCCACAACTAGCGGTGGTTGCCCACAGCAACGCGGGAAAAGCCGTAGCAATAATATTGAGAAATAAAGCTTTTATTGTTAAATAAATAATATTGTAACTATGTAATAACTCTCGCAATAAAGGCACCGAACAAATGGCGAGAGTTAACATAGATTTAGAATATAGAAATTAATTAATGCCAAATTGTAGAATAAGTATTGTATGTAAAGTATATTCCCTTGTATAGTGCAATTTAATTTCATATATATTAAGCCCTTAGGCACGATAAATAATAAACAGGGCATGTTACCGTGACGCGGCCGCGGAGCGAATGAGGCTACGCGCGCCGCGCCACGACGTTTTATATTTATAGTACTGAGGCGGGGGGCAGGGTCCTCAGCTCAAAATTGCTGGAATAACAACGTTTTAACCTTTACTATATAGAAAAATTGTTATATAAGTTAAGTTTAATAAGTAATTGTAAGAATGTAATATACTCGTATTTAAGTCTGTACATTAGTTTTTAAGAAATCTACCTAATAAAGAAAGGCGCGGGGGTGAGGCAAGGGTCCGCTGGCCAGCAACGGCCAGATCGTATATGACGGAGTGGGGCCACCATAAGAGTTTTTAAACTATGACGTCATCATCGATGACGTCATTATTATGATTTCTAGGATCACTCATTATTGTTTTTAATAATAAAACTCACTACACGTATTTGATCTTAACTGGTTTTACTAATCACAATTATTCACAATTTAACGTTTTTTCACTATTAACAACTATTCACAATTTATAATTAACGAACTCAACTAGGTCTGAACAGCTCGACTGCACGAACAAGAATGAATGCTGCCCAAGCCGCCGCACGCCTTTTAAACCAAACGCAAGCGTGCGGAAGCTATCCCTACTTCCTGCGTCTTGAGAATAAATTACCTTCCAAATTGTTACCGCGATAACCTGCTTTTAATTATATTTTGAATTAAAGCATTTTAACTTATTTATAAGTAACAATAATTAACTAATTTTAAAATAAAACAAAATGTTATAAACTATCAAGTTATAACGTTATTTCTGCAGTTGAAATAACGCTTATTAATTTTTAACACGATAATAATTGTTTGAGTAATGCGCCGATACGTCGCTTATACTTTGTTGCGCCGATACGGCCATTCTGATTGGTGGTGCGTGCTCAGCACCTACCAATTTTATTCTTACAGCTTTACTGCTGTTTGTTTATTTATTTGTGTTTCGACCATACATCACGTCTACATACATAATTCTCGTAATCTCGTAGAATGGAAATGGAGTGATGCTGTGCTCTGGGCGTTCCTGTTCGCCGTGGTACACAGGGGCTCTATAGGAATTAGGATTAGGTCGATGCTGTGTTATACACAGGGGCTCTAAAAGAGAAAACAGAAAATTATTTTGCAATAGTTAGAAGTTTTGTTCTTGAGTTAAGTTCTGCTGTTATGATTCTTAAGAAGTTGACGGCCCGGGCTCACTTGTTGCACTAATATCACCAGGGCATGGCTCTCTTTCCGCCGATACGGCCCTCTGAATCCCTGACTGTGGGGCCCGACGTAGTTGATCGTGAGCGACTTTTCGAGGCCGTCCTCTGCCAATTACCTTTTTCACCAAATAACGATCGTTTTCACGTATTCTGCATATCTCATAGGGTTCACTAAATTTAAGGTCTAATGAGGTTTGATTGCGTGGATTATTTTTGATAAGTACGTATTCTCCTTTCTGAAAATGATAGATCTTAGCTTTTCGTTGATTAAATCGTTGTCTATCTTGTTCCGATGCTTGAGACATTCTATTCTGCACATGTCTGGAAAGGGCGTCAATATCAATAGTTTGATTATCCATATTTACTAATCCGAGTAGTTCCGGTGGAACACAGTGTTTTCGTCTTGTGAGTAGAGTGAGGGGAGCGACACCTGTTACTCGATGAGCAGTACAATTCATGGCCAACTGAAGTTCTTCTAATGCAGTATGCCATTGTTCCGTTTCATAATTTTTTATCATTATTAATGCGTTCTTAAGCGTTGCTATTATTCGCTCAACTTGTCCGTTAGCTCGGCTGATTCCTGGTGATATATCATGGATGTCTATTCCTAGCTGTTGGCAATAAGTCTTGAATTCCCCCAAGAATTCTCTGCCTCCATCCACAATTATTTGAAGTGGTGTTCCAAATAGGTGTATAGTACGTTTTAGTGCAGCTAATGTGCTGTGCGGACTCTTATCGGTAGCATAATAAAACAGCACATATTTTGAGAAAGCATCGACAGTTACTACGACATATTGCTGGGCATCTGTAGTACCGAGCTTGCCAGTGATATCCATATGTATCACTTGAAAGGCTGTAGTTGGCTTTTGGATTGGATGTAGTCGAGCTTGTACAGCGCCCGATGTTCCTTTTGATGTTCTACACACGATACAGTTGTCCACAAACTTGCGCACCAGGGTACTCATTTTGTCAAACCAGTAAGATTCTTTCATCTTATGTAGAGTCTTTTCCCATCCAGGGTGTTTAAGCGCTGTATGAAATGAATTTATTATACTCCACTGGAAAGATCTAGGAACTACAACACAGATTTGCTGTCCAAAAATTGGGTCTCTCACGATTCGTTTTAAAACTTCGTTTTCTAGAAGGTAATCATCTACTGGATTTCCGTTGTTGAAGCTGTCCATCAGGCGACGCAGTGTCTCATCTCTGCGTTGTTCCACCTTCAACCAATCCAAGTCTCTTGTCATTATATTAACCTCACAACTACTTGGATTTCTGCTAAAGAAGTCGGTGTGTTGCAGGCGATTTCCTTTGCGGTATTCTACTTCAAAATCATAGTTCTGTAAAAACGCCCACCACCGATGAATTCTTGGAAGGAGATCCTTTTTGGGCTTAGATGCCTTTAAGGCATTGCAATCGGTTATAATTTTGAATTTCCGTCCATACAGATACTGCCGAAAATGTTTTATTGCACGCACTACCGCCAAGGTCTCTAGTTCGTACGAGTGATATCTGCTTTCAGTATCAGTAGTTCTCATACTCATGATGGCGATTGCATGTTGACGTTTGTTGATAATTTGTACTAGAACGGCACCGAATCCCAAGCTACTTGCATCCGTGTATAATTCTATGGGTGCTTCTTCTTGAAATATTGTTAACACAGGAGATGATATCAGACATTGGATTATCTTATTACGTGCTTCTTCGTGTTGATCATTCCACTCCCATTTAGCACCTTGTTTAGTCAACTCATACAAGGGCATCATTATACGGGAAAAATCGGGGATGAATTTCCGAAAATATCCAGCTAAACCATTGAACTGTCTTACCTTTTTAGCAGTATTCGGTACTGGTGCCTTGACTAGAGCTTCAACTTTCTTTGGACTTGGACGGATTTGACCATTTGAAACAACGTTACCCAAATATTCTATTGAGCGTTTGAAGAAGCTGCACTTATCCGCATTGATAGAAAACCCAGCCTTATGTAATGCTATGAGAATGAGTTCAATGTTTATTAGTCCTTAAGTAAAATCAGCACTTTTGCTCAAGACATCGTCGACGTAAACTTGAGCAGCACTGCCCAGTAACGAAAACAATGCTCTATTAATACATCTTTGGTATACTGCACACGCGTTGGAGAAACCAAATGGCATAGTAAGGTATTCGTATAATCCATCAGGCGTAACGAATGCAGTCTTCTCTATGGAACTCTCCGAAATAGGTATTTGATGGAAACCTGCCGCCATATCAAATGTGGTGAAGTAGAGTCCATTGGCCAGTTGATCGATTTGGTCGGAGATGAGTGGAAGTGGGTAATGGTCCCGCAAGGTATTAGCATTTAACTCGCGGAAGTCTACACAAAGGCGGTCATCTCCATTCTTCTTTTTAACTAGGATAATTGGGCTAGAGTATGGGGATTTGCTCTCACGTATAATACTGTGCTTCAATAATTCGTTGACAATGGTACGAACCTTTTCTCTCTCCACTGGACTGAGGCGGTATGGTCTTCGTTCTACGTATTTGTCCGGATTCTTTAATCTGATTTCCAACATACCTGTGTTAACTCGGGTTTTAGGGTATCCTCGAATAAATAAGTGTTCATATTTATTAAGGAGTATGCGAAGTTGTTTGATCTTTTCAGGGTCGGAAAGATCACAGTCTAGTTTTCCAAATATTGGACTATTTGTAGTGATATGATTGATAAGTCCTTGGTGCACTAATTTTGTTTTGCTAGACGTTACTATAACACTCAAGTTTGTGCCTTTAATCAAATTCATGCCAACCAGAATGTCCGTCGACATCTCACAGTCAGCCAGAACATAAAACTGAATTTCTACGCTGATATCATCTATGACACATATAGTCAGTAAACTCGTGAGTGATAATACGGGAAATCGTCCAATACCTCTCAAGTAGTTAGCCGTTTGAACTCTTTGTCCAGGCAGAGCAGCGGCTACAGATTCCCGTATAACTGAACATTCTGCACCACTGTCAAACACTGCCCGTAAAGTTTTTACTCCTATCCTGATAGTTAAAGGGGCGAGTTTTGTACCTTCGATGTGATTTATATTTGATGTCAAAGAACGATCACGCTTAAAACATTGGTCGTAAGTATGTCCTAATTTTTGACAAAATGTGCAGGTAGGTTTACTATTACTTTCACGTCTTTTACTATATTGTTCCTGATTTAATGCCGTTGGTTTGAAACGACATTCATCGGCAGAATGGTTTTTCCTTTTACAGATGTGACAGAATGATAGAGCGTGAGCATTACTATTGTTTGATAAACGCGGACGTTTGTTTGGCATCGTCATACTACTATTTGATGGATGAACGCGCTTTAATCGTATTGAGGATGCAATAGATATAAGTTCTGGCACTGTTGTTGCGCGCGCGCTTAATAGTTCGATCCGTAAATGTTCGTCACTAATGCAACCAATTACAGCCTCAACTGCGTCTTCATTAGGTAACTGGTCTTTGGTAATTCGTCTCCATAGTACCCAGGCTCGCGATAAGAATTCCGCTATATCTTTTGAAGAATCAAAAACATGTTCCCTGAATCTTAATATGTCCCGAGAATACCGGTTTTCTGGTTCAAATGTAGTTATAAGATTGTTGCGAAGTTCTTCCCAAGTAGATGTAGTTATCATCCAATCGTCGACCCACATTTTAGCGCGTCCTTTCAATAAGCTGCCAACTTTCATGCGTATATCAAAATCATTGAGGCGGTACGTCTGAATTGCTTTACTAATATGTTGACACCATTCACGTACTCCAACGTTTGTATCTGGATCAAATGAAGGTAGATAAATATCATTAATTCTCACCTTTGTTTCCGATGGAGTAGTTAGTCGATCCGACATGTTTTGCATCATATGCATCATTTGCATAAAGAACTGTGATGGTACATTAATCATTGAACTGTTATCACTCTGATTCTGTTGCACTGTTTCAGTGTTGACCGACATAGATGGTTGTTCAATATCAGATGGTCGCGCAGCAGTGGAAGAGCGTTGTTCACATCCCACTTCTGATGACGGAGTGGGGCCACCATAAGAGTTTTTAAAAACTATGACGTCATCATCGATGACGTCATTATTATGATTTCTAGGATCACTCATTATTGTTTTTAATAATAAAACTCACTACACGTATTTGATCTTAACTGGTTTTACTAATCACAATTATTCACAATTTAACGTTTTTTCACTATTAACAACTATTCACAATTTATAATTAACGAACTCAACTAGGTCTGAACAGCTCGACTGCACGAACAAGAATGAATGCTGCCCATTTTTTTTTTTTTTGCGCCCGAAGCAATGGGAAAAGGGCTACCCTTTATTTAGGGAGGCGGAAATGCATTACGCATACCACGACAGCCGGTCTATCGTGGTTATGAGGGACTCACTGCCTACCGGGGGAACCTAAGTGATACCCTCTAAAACCGCCTTTGGGGACTGGCAACTAGCTGTTTAAAGCTTCTTATGCCGTATCGGAAGCGACCCTCTTTTGGGAAAAGAGGGCGCAGGCGGCTATTAGCCGCTGAGGGAGTGCCTGGGAAGGCAAATTAATTATGAATAACTTAATTAGAATTGGCCTGAGCCGCCAGGAGGCAGTTCAGGTCGTTTGAAAGTTTATTAGGCGGGTCCGAGAGGGAGTTCCTCGGCCTGCGGACGCTATAGCGGGAGGGGAGTGGGGCTGCATAATTAGCTGCCTCACGAATTAAATGATTTGAATGCGACTCTGAGGCTTTGAAGAAGTTCTCAGAGAGTTTTTTAAGGAATTGTTGGATTGTAGGGAGCTCTAAGTCCCGATGAAGGTCGGCATTACGGACGTACCAAGGTGCGTTCGTAGCTCGACGACAGAAGAGGTTTTGAACTACTTGGAGTTCATTAATGATTTTAGGGTCAGCGTGGGCAAAAATGGAGCCCGCGTAGGACATGACTGGTCGTATACAGACCTTATAAAGGGTACGCTTGTTTCTGATGGACATTTTACTGTGTCGGCCCAACATACTGTTGAGCCTACCCAGGTAAAAACGTGCGTGACGGGTTACTCTTTTGACGTGGGACCTAAAAGTGAGGCTTGTGTCAAGAGTGACGCCTAAATATTTGGCAGTCGTATGCCAGGGGACAGGGGTCCCTAGCATACGTATTGGTGGAGTGTTTTTGAGTCGGCGTCGTTTATAATCGAAGTGAACGGCGGAGCTCTTCTCCGGGTTCACATCGATGCGCCATTTTTTGAACCAAGCTCCTAGGTCATCAACTGACTTTTGGATCTTGTTCCGTATGAAAGGTAGCGAGGTACCTTTACAGTATAGGGCAGTGTCATCTGCGAAGAGGGAGAGCTGAACTCCTTTCGACGGGATGGGAATATCGTTGGTGAACAAAATGTACAGGAGAGGAGCAAGTACTGAGCCCTGAGGGACACCAGCTTTGATGGGACGCTGAGAAGATAGCGTGCCTTCGTGTCTAAAACGAAAGGTACGATGCTTTAGATAAGAGGCCACGAGACGTACTAGACGATCGGGGAGACCTATTTTGTATAATTTGTAGATAAGGCCTTCATGCCAGACTCTATCAAAAGCTTTAGCTATGTCGAAAAAGACCGCGATGGTCTTATGACGACGAGGATAAAAACCGCTGAGGATATATTCCACAATACGGTGAACTTGTTGGGGACAAGAGTGTTTCGCTCGGAAACCGAATTGGTGGGGTATGACAATAGGGTCACCGTCTGTGGGAAACAGATAGCGCCTCATTCGATTTTGAATGACTCTTTCAAAGAGCTTGCCCATGGCCTTGAGGAGGCTAATGGGACGATGACTGGAGGGGAGGTTAAGAGGCTTGCCTGGCTTGGGAATACCAATCACAGTTGCCTCTTTCCACGTAGTGGGAAAGTAACTAAGGTTGAAGCAGGCATTGAAGATAATAGATAAAAGGGTTAGCACCTGCTCAGGAAAGTGTTTTAGGGCTTGGTTGGAGATGCCATCCGCGCCCGGAGACTTTTTAGGCTTAAGTCCTTTGATGAGGGATGAAATCTCATCATTGGACACAGAGATAGGTTCGGAGGCTGTAGGGGGCGAGTTCCGGCGGCGGACCTCATCCTCCACTGCCTGGACGTGTGAGGGGTCGACGGGTTGAGAGCTAGGAGAGCATTGAGCGGCAATGCTGTCTGCAAAGCACTCAGCCTTTTCCTCGTCCTCGAAGGCTACCGTACCGTCGGGACGGGAGAGAGGGGGAGTGTGGGTGATAGCGTCTATGCGGAGGGCTCTTGCCATCTGATAGTACGCTGTATGAGAGGGAGAGATATTCTCCATGAGCTTACTCTTTTCGAGGTCTCGAAATTCAGAGAGGTGGAAACGGAGTTCTCGTTGAAGACGATTGGCCGTGCGCCTATATTCGGGCGTGGGATATTTTGCTGCTCTCCGGAAAGCAGCTTTTTTGGCTTTTAATAGGTTGCTAATATGCAGAGGAAGCCCACTATTATTAGCAACCGGGACGACCCTTTCATTCTCCTTAAGGGAAGTTTTAATAAGGGTGGAGAGTGAATCGACCGCGGTGTCGATTTTTTCAGGACTGTCTAAGTCCGACGATAGGGAGATGGGGGAGTCCTGTGAGTCCAGAGCTTTCGCTAAAGACTCCTTGAAGCCCTTCCAATTTGTGAAGGTTTTAGTAGAGGGTGTTGAGGGGGGTGGCTGATGGCCAAGAATGAGGGAGACCGGTCTGTGGTCGGATCCTAGATCGTCTAGTGTCTCGATTGCGCTGAGGTTGAGGGAAACACTTTTGAATAGTGCAAAATCTAACACGTCGGGAGCGTAATCGGTGATATCGGGATAGTGAGTAGCACCGAGGGGACTGTGGACGGTAAGGTCAAGAGACTGCGTGATATCAAGCAGTATCCTGCCGCTACGTGAAGTAGTACGGCATGTCCATTCAGTGTGCTTGGAGTTAAAATCTCCAAACATAATGACTGAATTGCCTAGAGATAAAATAGCCTCAAAATCTTTTTTGAGGGGAAGGGTTTTAGAAGGGATGTAACAGGAGGCTATGAAGATGGACTGATGTCCAGTCATAGCTAGCCTACATACCGTGGCTTCCATGTTGGAAAGTTGCGGAGTAGAAATGGGAGAGCAGTGAAGTGTCTTCTTGTAATAAATGGCCGTACCGCCGCCTCGGCGGTCGGGTCTGTCATTACGAAGAAGAGAGAAGTTTTTGATGGAAAGGCCTTTAGTGTCCTTAGTATTGAGATTAGTTTCCTGTAGGAGGAGGAAATCGGCTTCACGATTACGAAGAAAGAGCTTAAGCTCTGGGAGGTTATTTCGCAAACCGCGAATGTTAAAGGATACAAGCGATAAACCCTTAGGTTTGATACGATCGTGAGACTTTGGTAGAGCAAACTGCTCTGTCATTGTGAGTTAAGTTAATTAAGTTAACTTAACTTACAACGAGCACAAAAGATTATGATGCTCTGCAAGAGCGAGAAGACGGTCCTGAGGGGACCTCGCAGCGCGCAATTTGCGTGCTAACACAGCGATTTCCTCAACGTTGATGTTCCTAATAGCAGAATACACCGTTTTTAGGTCATCAGCCATTGAGGGTTGTGATTGTTGTGGGGCGGAGGATGTCCGCGGTGGGTCTGCCTTTTTGGGGCCCCAGGGAAAGACTGGAGGCTGCATAGGCTGAGAGAAGCCCGGAGGGGGCCGAAGAGGTCCCTGAGGGGGCCTAGGGGGACCCTGAGAGGGCCGAGAGAAGCCCTGGGTGGGCTGAGAAAGGCCCTGACGGGGCATCCGTTGGTAAAGAGCCGGGAATGAGCGGTCATTGACCGTCGGTGGAGTTTGCCTACTGGGGCGAGGATGAGGTGCGCAAGGGCAGCCTCTGTAGTTAGCCGGGTGGCCTGTTTGTTTACACAGGACACACGCGGGTGGGGATTCGGCGTCTTTGGGCCGAGGACACTCTTTAGTGTTGTGGGGTTCAAGGCACTTAACGCACCTGGGTGGGGCGGAGCAGTTGGCCGCCGCATGACCATACAGCTGGCAGCGGTGGCACTGCGCCGGGAACCCGCGCCTATGTGGAGGCTCAACCCTCACTCTCGACAGGCCGCACACTGTGCGTACCTGCCGGAAGATGGCTTTTGCCTCCGGCACGTTGGTTAAAATAACTAGGGCAAGAGAGATCCTCTGGCCCGTTCTACTGTGCATTTTGTGCACGGCTTCAACTGGGAAACCTTGGGACTTAAGGTCCTCAAGGATTTCTTCGTTGGAAAATTCGAAGGGGACGCCGCGGATGACGGCCCTGACTTTGCG